GAACGGCCAACAAATTGTGTGGAGCGGCCTATACTTGCAGGTGCAAAATGCTTACATGCTTACTCTAAGCACCTCCAATGCGCCTATGGCGATCTAAACTAACAGTAACAGTTCAATCGATACCATTTCGTGATGAAAGTCAGTCGTGATTTGAGCCTCCAAGATTATCATTTGGCCATGAATCAACCACCGAAGCTCGAAGCTCGAACAGTCCATAATCCCAAGGAAGGGAGGATGCCCACCACATTGAATCGGCAACGAACACTTGATTTGTCCCGCCTTTGAATTCATCAGTTTCGAGCTGATGCTTGCTGCTTGTGCATATCTGCTCTTTGGACATGCCACTGAGGGATATCGAGCTTGGGCGAAAGCCCACTTGGTTTATGTGGCACCTTGCCGGCAAAGGGACAAAGGCATTGGCTCATCAGAAGGGTATTATACTCCGTACAATTGTTCGCAACATGCAGGTTTGCTTCCTGCAATTGTTAAACTCAGTGCAGACGCGAAGAACCTTTCCACGATGCTTGAAGGTCGGCATATCCGCCTCTTAGATTGTATGTTCTTGTGGGTCCGCTGTGTTTGTTTAGTGATGTTATTTCTCAGTTTGGTTTGCCTGTTCTTTCTCCCCTCGGTGAGGCAATGTTTGCCGGTGGTGGGTTTCCTTCGCAGCTCCCTGGTAGCACCTGGCCTACCGAAGAAGCGACGGGAACTCGGCGAAGATGCCCAACGGCGGCGGCTCTTTTTGCGAGGAGAGGAGCTCCGCGACCCGGGGAAAAAAATAGAACATAATAGCAAAAGGAACCTAATAGTGATACTTTTCCAACAAATTGAAAGAATCCATCGAACGCCAGCATATATTCACCGCTCCGCGGCGAACCCCGGAACGCAGGGGAAGTACGCTGGTATCTATTTGAGGTGTGTTGCGCGCAACTAGTCTCAATACGACATCTGCAGGTACAAGCACGCACACGCTTGCAATGATGCCACTCCATGTGGTAAGCATAATTCACATTATCAATAGTTTATCGTTTCTCTTTCGGGAAGGCCACAGCGGCAAGCACACACGATGTCAATAATGCATTCTCACTCGGGCAGCAAAACCGACATCGCCAATGCGTCGATATTTTTTGTCGGCTTTTAAGAGCTCTAAAGCCCAGCATTCTAGACAAAAAAATGTCCCCCAACTTAAAGCTTAATGAGCTATCTAGGAACTTCTAGCGGCTCGCGCAATTTGAGACAACGCCTCAGCACCTTCGGCGTGGGGCCGAGAATGGTTGGCGATTAGCAACCGTGAAGTCGAAGTCCGTGTTCTTCAAGCCTCAAGCACAACCTAAATTAAAATGCAGTTGTTGACATTCGTCATCCCTCGTGTGCAACCAACATGTTCCACAAAGAAACTGATCGAACAGTACGTTGGTTCCTGGGAAGATGCTAGCCGGCATATGTTGGCTCCTGCGAAGAAACTAATCGAACAGTATGTTGGTTCCACAAAGATACTCACGGCTGCAAGAGTTTCATGGCCGGTTGTCAACAGTTGAAACTCGTAGGGTTTGGGCTGTGTGATACAAAAGTTGAGTTTTGAAAGAAGAATCTATTTGTTGCTGATCAGTCCTGATGCAATACTGTCGATAAGCATAGTATCAGCACCAAGCAGCACTATATATACATTGCATTCAACGGACTCACGGGTTGCATTGATGCCTTGATACTTACGTGTTTGTGTGATGGAATTTCGTGAAGAATGTGAGAAGGTGGTTTTTCATTGGTTTCCTGCAACGTACTACTGCAACATGTTTACGTGAATTCTGGCTGAAGAGGCCTGGCTGAATGCGAACACCTCGTACTGCTGACACTCTTCCGACAGCGAACTGCCAAGTGGCCTCGAAGCCTCAGCACAGTACTGCATGAGCTTTTGCGACTGGTGGAGTGCAATGGCAACTGGAATTGCAGGTTCCATCAACTAATGAGGTTGTGTTCTGTTGGCGGGTGCAGTTCGAGATAATGACCGTGCAGCAAGACTAGTTGGGTGTAGGACACAAGGGGTAGGTCAACAGTGTTGGCAGTCAGTATAGCATCCTTTGTGGAAACAAAACAATGGCGTCGACGGTTTGCATCGGTTAGTAAAATTGAGACGACTGCATCCTGATGTCATGGGGGAAGAGTGAATCCTGCACCCTGCATCCCACGTTTGTAAAGTTGGGACAAGAGTGTTGGGCTAATTGTGTAAATCTGTGGGATGAACACTTTGAAGTAGGAAGGAGGCTACTTACTAGGTGGAGGCCATCGCTATTAGGTTGGAGGCCATCGCTACTAGGAACAAGGACGCTGCTAGTAACCAGTACGATCTGTTTGGACCAGATGTGGACAAAGGTTGATGGCCTTTCTCGAGTTTGCCAATGTGATTCCGGCACCGATGTATCCAAGTTCAAGCTTCAAAATGAATTTCGGCAAGGTGCTTCAACCACCTTTCGGCTTTTACTGGAACGAATTCTGAGGCAAGGTGCTCAAAGGCCACACGGAGGAGTCCTTGAGCAGCGCCTTTTATCGGCTGATCAGCTACAAGTTGGTGAACTTCATCCCTGTACTTTGGAAGCATTTGGCACTATTCGGAAGGTGAAATTCACCTGAGGGGATCTGGAAGAACATCTCAGATCCAGATGGACTTCCCACAAGGTGCTTTTACCAATTCAATAGAGGCTGTGTGTGAACTGCCAAACTTCCGCGGGACATTCCTTCAATCAAGATACGACTTTGTTCTGCGGCTCTATTTACTTGCAGCTTCAGTTGGGAAGAAGAAGTGGCAACACGTACTATCCGTGACTAACCACGATGTGACCAGCTAGAAAGAAGAAAAAAGAAGGTAGGAGGTAGGAGCAAGGACGCTACTAGAGGCTCCTGCCCTTAATACTAGGAGCAAGAAGCTACTAGGAGCAAAGGGTATCGCTACTAGGAGCAAGAACGCTATTAGGGTGAAGGCCGACTTCATCGCAGACGGCGCCAGGTCTCCAGCAGCGATGTTTCCAGCCGCTACAGGCCATGTGAGAGTCAAGTGGATGAAGAATATCGACAATGGGCCACTTGGACGAAATCCCAAGTCACCTGGGGATTCTACATAGCCCGAGGCTATGTTGTTTGAGGAAACAGACAGAAAGTGGATTTGACCCAAACAAGTGCAAGGAGATTCATGCACATGCATGAGTACAGAAGTGACATCCATGTTGACAGCAGAATGCAGGGAAAGTGTCCATCGCAGCAGACAGTTTCTGCTTTGTTTGTTCTGTTAGACATGTCTTTGGAAAGCTACTAGGAGCAAAGGGCATTTCTACTAGGAACAAGAAGCTGCTAGGGGCTCCTGGCCTTGCTACTAGGAGCAAGGACGCTACTAGTAACAGGTGCCACGCTACTAGGAACAGGTGCCTTACTAGTAGTAACAAGAAGCTACAAACGGGGCAAAGCTCCTGACTTGCGTATTCCCCGCACGGCTCCAGGGAACGGACTTTTCCAAACACTGTAGCGTCCTTGCTCCTAGTAGCGATGCCAGGAGCCCCTAGTAGCTTCTTGTTACTAGTAGTAAGGCCAGGAGCCCCTAGTAGCGTCCTTGCTCCTAGTAGGGATTTTAAGGAAGAAAGCGAATTGCTACCTTAGAGAAGCAAAACCAAATGCAAAATGGCAGCCATCCCAATCCCAATGTTTATGCACCTGAGGTCGAAGACATGGAGAAGACCGAATCGGCCATGTTGCAAAACCCATTGAAGAATATGCCAGAGGAGGTTCAACAGTGGGTTCGAACCATTTGAAGCTGTTTGAAGCTTCAAAGAGAAACCTTTGTCTTCACCCGCACCACATCGTGATTGCAAGGTTGGTCGCAAGTGAGGAAATTGCAGGTTTATCCATGAGGATGCGGTCGTGTGGGCAAGAGAACTTGACATGGCTTAGATGGATGTAGCGCTGTGAAGGAGGGTTGAGCCTCCAGGCAGAGATGATTGGATGTTGTTTTTTGGTCAAAGATGCCGAGAGCAGCGGTCGAAAGATGAGTTTCAGACCAAATCATACTTGGTTTTGTTGGCAGCAGAGGGGCGTTGACATTCATATTGACCAAGCACCTATTCTCTTGGAGCCCACTTGCAGCAATAGGAACGTTCTTAGACATCCTTTGGTTTGGAATGTCCTACATACCTGGTCTTACCCCCTTTGCACTTGGAGTAAGATTGTAGTCTTCTGACCAAAGCACTCCAAAAGGACAGCTTTCAGGAATCCACTTAAGCTATCCTGCCCTTACTTAATGGAGTAGCCCTTGCTTAAGGTTCATCACTAAGGGCTCAAACAACAAGAAGAACATCTTTAAAAAGAATTTGATAGTAGTAACAAGAAGCTACTAGGGGCTCCTGGCCTCTAGGGGCTCCTGGCCTGACTACTAGGAACAAGAGGACGCCACTAGTAACAAAGTGCCTTTCTTCTGCTTCGATAATTCCTTTGATAGAGCTCTTTGCATCGCTTCGTTCTGCTGCTCACGGCCTGGGGGAGCGAGTGAGACTGGGAACTCGCTCATGCGGAGTGCGTGAAAAAATGCCGGAGGCGAAGACGAGAAAGGGTATCTGTGGTGTTGGAGCGGAGGTTGGTCAAGAAAGCATAAGGAAGGAGAAGAGGAAAGATCTAAAGAAAATCAAAATAAACAAAGGAAAACATGAATGCTCGTTGTATGTGGAAGCAAGGGGTAGTCAAGTCCAGCAAAGCCGAAGACCTTTGTAAAGGCGTTCAAGGATGCTAGTGTACAATGGCCCAATGGCATGCAAGGATGCCATGCAAGTACGGCGGGCAGGTAGATCGGTTAATGCACTACGATATGATTTCGTAAAACCTTACCGGTCATCACTGGAGAATCTTCACACTGTCGGTACCAAGAAATGCAACTATCCCTAGTAGCGTCCTTGTTCCTAGTAGCGATGCCCTTTGCTCCTGGTCTAGTACTTCAGCTTGCAGTGCCTTGAAGTGCCTTGCAGGTGCTTGGGAACGCGGACCTCCAGGCTTACATTTTGCGGACCGCAAGGGCCTTGACTTGCGCCAGGCCTTCGCCAAAGAATGGTACTGTCTGAAACCGTCCGTCTAACGTCTAAATACGAAAACGAAAAGAGAAGCTGTTTGGCCCCCTCTGTAAAAACAGAAGGCATTTTCGTTCAGTTTATTTGTTTACTTTCCAGACTGTAGGACTTGATGGGAAACTCATGCATTTGCCGACTACTGCTCTTTACGTCAGCTGATTCAGACCTCGTGTTGATGAATCGGGACATGTATAGCGAAAAGGCTCCTAGTAGCTTCTTGTTCCTAGTTGTAAGGCCAGAAACCCCTAGCGTCCTTGCTCCTAGTGACGATGCCCTTTGCTCCTAGTAGCGTCCTCTACCTGGCTTCGGTCAATTCTAAAGGGATGGACTGCATACTTCTTAAGTCGTCAAAGGTGTTGTGGTCCTGTGCTATAACACCCCACAAGAAATGGCTCTTGGTTGAGAGGAGTGCCTTGGTCAGCGATTAAGTTTCCCTAAAAGTTTAGGAACCATATCATTAGGAACAAGAAGCTACTAGGGGCTCCTGGCCTTACTACTAGGAGCAAGGACGCTACTAGGGGCTCCTGGCATCGCTACTAGGAGCTACATCGCCCTACTAGCTACTTCCAACCTCTTCTAGCGGCCTACCTCCCCCTTGAAAAAGAGGAAGCCATTCCTTCTAGCGGTCAGAGACCTTCAAGACCGCCTGAAAGAGGTCCGACAGCATAGGAAGCGTTCTTGTGAACACTGCCTTTTGTTTTGGACGCTACCCATCCTTACCCTTTGCACTCGAAAGGTTTGGATGGTCCTCCTTTGCAACACCAGGTAGGCAGAGGAAAGGCCTCAAGAAAGCGGGTTAATTGTGCTTTGTCACAAATGCTCACCTTAGGGGTCAAGCCTTCACAGGTGACAAGGGCAAGCGGATTTTGTAGGGCAAGCCGTATGAGGGCCTTTTCTTCGTTTCTTCGAGGCTCGTGGAGATGCCGCGCCAGAAGATGAGGACTTGCCACGAAAGGCAGCAAACTTTAACAAGGCCCAGGGTGGGAGTTGGGGACTGACAGTCGCCGGCTCTGGGAGTGTGGCATGTGGATTGAGGTTGACTATGGAGAAACGCAAAGCCAAAAACTCATGTGACTGGTGTAGTAAAGGAAAATAGTTCTTTGACTGAGATTCCATGAAGCGAGAATCTCATGGGATTGGTGCCGTTCTCAATCGTTCTCACTCAAATTGATTCAAAGCTTCAAGGTTAAGGGATGCTGTCGTACTCCCAATCCTGTTACAACTGTTAGACTAAAACGGTTTCGTACTTAGATCCCACTACAACATTTAGATGATGCTGGTTCAAGGCTCACGAAAACGCTACACCAATCACCCTGGTCTGGGTTTTGATCAGAACCATGGGCGATGTTTCCCACAGCCCAAGTAAGTGTTTCTACAGAGGAACCTGGCACAAGCCTAGGACGCTACTAGGGGCTCCTGGCACAAGCCTGATGTTCCTTTTTTTGCAGCACGCAGCAGGACTGTGGACAGGTCCCATTCAATAAGAAACTCTATATCCCATTACGAGGTCGTTGGAGGATTGTCTTTGTCCAATTTTTGCATCTCGGGGCGCGCACTTCTGTCCATGATTGCGTGGGTGAAAACATAGATGACATAGATCCAACCTACTAGTGATGGCCTCCGCCCTAGTAGTGATGGCCTCCAACCTAATAGCGATGGCCTCCACTCCAGCTCCACTGTGCATTCTCTTCATGACTTCGTCAGCTGACTTCGCTTCGCTTCGTTAGCTTCGCTTCGCGAGTCTTCCGAGGTCTTGAGCTGGGCGGTAAAGGCCATGGTCGCCAGCATGCTGATCTCGCTGGCGCGGAGCATGACACTGAACAGTCACTGAATACGAAATACGCGTATTATGCAAGCTAGATCTTAAGAGATAACTTAAGATTGGTTATGGTCTTTGGCTCTTTGACTCTAGAAGAGTGCGTCCATTGTGGCAATGTTTAAAGCGGTGACATCAGCTGAGTAGTTTCTTCACAAAACCAATTGCTTTTCTAGCTTCAACGAAGAATAAGTTCTTGGGAATCCAGAATTCATCACAAAGAGCAATTCAACTTCATGTGTGCGTTGACTTGAAGTTCCCGCTGAAGTTCCTGCATTAGCTCTGCGAAACTTGATTTGAATTTGTATAGCCGAAATGCAAGTGGGAATGGTGCTGCCAGATACTTTGGATCATCGGCTTTGTTGTGATTTGGGTCGAGGCCGGGGCAATCGAATTTTGAACGAAGAGCACTTCAGGGCATGGATGGGAACGTTCCAGTCTCCACATGTCTCCACAACGCGTCCTTAGTTTCTACCCATCATGACAATCCTGTCACTGACAATGGAAGAGCATGGTGTGGCTAGTTTGACAGAAAAGCCACTTTGGCGATTGTTCTGATTTGCAAGGCACATCAATAGAAAGATTGCTGGTATGGGTACCCATGTCTCACAAAAAATAAACGGCCAGCAAAACTGATCGATGATTCTAATTCTGACCTATTCCACACCCATCTCATCCCTCACACTTGTTGATTGCTTTAGATCGCCTCTCCTGTGCCTACAGCGTGGTGCGTAGTATTGCACTGTATCGCAGGACTTGTCATCATGCTCAGAAGTTCGCAGTTGGCTGAGATTCATCCTTGTGGCGTGGGGCTGAGTAAGGGCATCGCTACTTGCAAGGACGCTACTAGGGGCTCCTGGCCCTACTACTAGTAACAAGAAGCTACTAGGGGCTCCTGGCATCGCTACTAGGAGCAAGGACGCTACTA